ATGTATTGGGTATCGTATGAAAACTTGGGGTAAATATGAATGAAAGTTTTGATAAGAGTCAAAAGCTGGGTCAACGGAAGCGGAAGTCAATTTTTGTGTTATAGAAATTGAAATGAAAATGAAATGATAAGAAAATGAATCCCAGGCCAACAACGAAATGAGAAAAGTTCGGCAAGTATAAAAGAAAATGTTGCAAATATATACAACATTGAACTGATGACATAAAATATGTGTGTACCTAAATACATAGTTGAGTTTTATGGCTGCCAGGAGCAGAATGTGCTGGGCCAGAGCACAAGGTCGCTCTTCAAACTCATATTGCTGCCTTTTTGTTTGACATTATCGAAGGATGTGGCTCCGAGTTAGATGTTGTTGTTGCTGTTGTTGTTGTTGTTGTCGTTGCTGCTGCCGCTGTCAGGTCTTCTTTGGCTTGCCAGCCAGCAGTAACAGATACCGGAGGTACATATCGCATTATAAAAGGAAATAAAAGCACTTTTGTCCCAGAGACCATGCGGGCAATGTAAACAACCGACAACCGACAAGCGACAATCGACCCAAAACGCGCTTTGATCTGCCGCCAGGACCCGTGTCCCAGTCCGCAGTCTGGTAAGTATTTGGAATCTTCTCCTGCTGCTACACCAAGCGGACATTGAACCATCTGGCTATGTGGCACCGTTTTTTTTTCGGTTTATTTTTTTTTTTCTTTTAACCATTGTTGGACGAGCAAGTTACTCAATTACCCAAGTGTCCAGTCGAGCTTATCAGTATTCGAACCGGGTCTTTCCTCTGCCCCTGCCACTGCCCGCTGCAGCATATTGTTGCCGTTTTTATGATGCATCCTGCACAGCGGCGCACGCCCTCGCCTCGCCAGGACTCGCTTTGTTGCTTGCTTTGATTAAATGTCAAAACAATTGTGCGCTGCAGCATAATCAAAGCGCTGCTTGCGTAATTGCCCAATGAAGCGGAAGTTGCTGCAAACCAGGACGCGGTCGCACAAAATAAAAGTAAAGAATACAAAAATTAAAAAAAAAAAATCAAACACTGGAAAAATCCAACACCTTTGGCTCGCCGAAGATTAGATACCCTTAAATGTCACTAGAAATAAAAATTGTTCTTTGGATCTGGATTGATGGACTTGGCTTTATCAATTCGACTGTTGATGGTGATCATACTTTGTGTTGAGTGGAGACCTCACCGAAATGCTTTAAAAATTTTTCAGCAAAAATATAATATCCTCCGCAAGGGTATAAAAACCATCTAGTTATGTAGCTAGTAGCTTTGGAGTTGATACCCTGTATCCTAAATATTTACATATTTTATTTGATATTGATAATATTTCTGCAAGCAAACTTGGGATAGTATTCTCATCTGAAAGAAAATATTGTCAAGATTTCATTAAACTAAGAATAGCGAAGTTAAGCCAGGTTTAAAAAAATTAGTTTTTAAGCAACTGATAAATTTTAAAATTACAAGAATACGACTCGGAGTTGATTAGTTTGCCTGGTGTATTGCATAACTCCTGCTCAATTCTAATATACCCATTCTTGAGTACTTTCACTTGGTGTGTGTGTGTTTTTGTTTGTGTGTAAGGACATCAGATACTAGACAAATTTGCTGCTCCCAACTGGAGGGTAATCGACACTGCTGCCTCTGAAGCTGGGCAGGAGTAAAATACATTTGGTTGAGATTTCACCCCTCATATATCTGATATGTATTTGTAATGAGTAATTCTCAATGTTGTTAAGCTATTGTCTATTAAGGCAGCGTTGCTCTGACATTTGCAACGTGTCTCTCAATTTTAAAGCTTTGTGTTGGAATATTTAATTTAATAAAAAATAAATAAAAATCAACCGTGTGATTAATACAGCAAATTTCGCTCCGAATGCATTTGTTATGTTTTATGTGAATAATTTGAAAAGTAAATGTCTCACAAATCTACAATTATTAATCATCTAAAATGGCTGAGAGTTTGCCTAAGTAATTACACAAGCTAAATTGTAAAGTTCTTGGTTTGTTTGTCCCATGAAATCCAAGGGTGAATTTTGTTGTACTTAATTTGATTTTTCAATTTGGGGAGTGCATGAAAAATTGAGCGGACTGGAAAAGTGCACGCGAAATATTTGAACCGTTTGACAAGTAAACAACAACGAGAAATTTTTAAATATCGCCCAAAAAAATAATGAAAAATATTCATAAATATTCAAATGAAAAACCTCACGCCACAACGAACAAATCTGGACGCCAGGACGAGCACAAGTCAAATCAAATTATGGATAATTTATACACACAATTTCCATTGGACTGATGCTGCTGCTCCTGCTCCGGCTGCTGCTGTTGTTGCTGCTGCTGCTGTTGCTGCACAGGATCGTCAAGGAGCAAGGCGCTGGTTTGGCCGCGACGGAAACTGGCCGACGTTGGCTTCACTTCTGCCGCTTGATTGAAACTCATTTATCATCATAAATTAGAGCAGAGTGGGTGGGGGTGGGGGTGGGGAGGGGAGGGGGGTTGCAGGATTCGAGAATGTAGCACGAAATCAAGGAAAAGATTCATCATGCGTCTGGCGCGTGGGCGTGGCCACATCAGCTGGGCAACTGGGCAACTGGGCAGCTGGACAGCGGCATGTAATCCAGCTCAGATTGAAAATTAATGAGGTCATCACGCTACACACACACACACACACACACACGCACAAGTAGATGAAGTTCCTGACTGTAAAATCAGCGACTACAAAAATTATTTACCATTCTTTCTTGTCTATTGTTGATTCTTTTTACCATATATATATATATATATATATATATCCGACACGGACGTCGTTTCTTTCTTTTTCTGCTGAATTGTTATGCCACCGTTCAGCTGTCAGTGGCACAAGTCAACGCTAATGATGCAATCGCCTCGAGGGGGTATGTTCGACTCGTGTAACATGCGTAAAAGTTGTTAATTATACAAATATTTAGTATATAGTATAGCAACAACAAGAGAATATGAAGTTACTTTTTGGCTAGGGTATTGCATCGTCGTATATGGCATACGTATTATTCGGTACTTACTTTGCTCTCGTCTTGTGCTATTGTTGGGCGGTGTGTTTGTTGTGCCACACTTGTCTCAAGCAGTGAGCCAGAAAAACTCCCTGGACTTGCGTTGGAATAAAAATTAATTGCGGACACTTGGACGGAGCGCACTGACTGGGGGCGGGGGTGGGCTGAGCGGAATTTGTGGCAAACGTGGCCATCTACTTACATAAATCAAAATTCTGCACATTTAGGTCATTTAGGCTTTTTACAATTTTTTTTTAATATTTTTTATTTCACAGCAACCAAATGCAAATAAGATGATAAGGAATGTCCTTAATTTGGGGTCCGCATTGTCCCCTTGTTCATAATTATGTGAGCAATTCATGGCGAATACAATAAATCAAGACTAGACTGGACCTCAAATACTTATCATTATTTACTTGTCCTGAATGCGTAAGATTAGAGGATAATAAGCATGTTAAACTGCTTTTGAGGAATCAATAAGATTAAGATTTATTTATTTTAGTTTTTGGCAAACATTCTTCGAATTGTTCCACAATGAACCTAATGAAAATGTTTAAAAAGGGCATAATTATGTGGGACAAAGTACGTAATAAGCAGAAGAAGGTTTTTTTGTAATCCCATAAAGAATATATATTCGTTTTCAAGTTATGCGGACCAAATTCAATCGATATGCATCTTATTATGTTCCTAATGTTTGGATAAAAGACTAGAAATATTACTACTATATGGCTTTCAATTAAATAGTTTTAGAAATCTCTCAGATGTCGACAGGTTAAGCTCGGTCTGTAATGGCATTCAAAATTCTTCATTTCTTGTTTCAAAAGTGATTTGAGTTATTTGCCTTAGTTTTGTTGGTGACCAATTCTAAATTGAAGAGTAGTTATTTAATGGAAAGCTTGGTAATAAAACTAAAATCGCTGGGATTAGGCTATACAACGTGCTCTTACTTGTTTATTTAATTAGGTTTTGTTTAGCATCAACTAAAAATAACTGTCGCCCAGGTGGATGCTTAATCCTTTATATGTTCGCCAACATTTTGGGCAGTTCCATCCGTCCGCCTATGTGGCAATGGTGTGTCCAAAATCTCTTCGCTGATATTGCAATTTATTTAAATAATCTAGCAATAATTCAAATTGCCAGAAGCCCACGGAGAAAAAAAAACCATTACAAAATATCCCAAATGTTAACCCTTTTCAACAAGCAAATAAAATGACGATGCAGCCCATTTGCAATCAATTGAACGGGTATGCGCGTGTGTGTGTGTGTGTGTCACACACATATGCATATGAATATACATATATTCGTTTATATAGCTGATAATTTATTGGCCTCAGCGAACCAGTTGCGGATGCTGGCAAGGTAATTATTATCGCCGGCGAACGTGGCGCATACGTAATGAATGGCCAGTTTAATCGGTTTAAGGTTATGTGACTTTTTTTTTAAGCACCGTCATAGTCAAAGCCATTGGCTACTGTTATTGCCATCGCACATCGCACATCGCACTCAAAGTAAGTAAAATTTCCATTTGCCATTTTTCCATTTCCATTTACGCGATTTTTTGGAACAATTTATGGTTTTGACCTTTAAGTGCCGCAAGGGAAAACATATTCATTGCCTCACATCTCATACAAGAATGGGAATTATTTATTATATTTCTCATTCGGCTTGCAATAACTTAAAAGATAATTCAATTACCAGCTTGTTTAATTTATTTTCAGTGGATTTATTTAGTAGTTTATTGAAACGCAACTTATTTTCCGGAAGTTGATAAAATTATACTATACAGACTAAGAGAATATATCATCGATCGAATTAAGGGCATTTAAAAGTCGACAATTCGAAAATGGCTGTGTGTTTCTGTTATTGATTATACATAGGCCTTGTCATTTTTATCATTTAGTCATAAAACTGCTCTTTTGTGGATTGTCTGTCCACTTTTGGATATACATTTCATTCATATTTCATTTTAAAATCTCTAAAAATTTGAGAAAAAATGTCCTTGCCGCGAGTTTTCTTTGACATAACCGCTGATGGGGAGAAACTTGGACGTGTGATAATCGAATTGCGTTCAGACATAGTTCCAAAGACGGTGGAAAACTTTCGCGCCCTGTGCACTGGAGAAATGGGTTTCGGCTATAAGGGCTGTCCATTTCATCGGATTATACCAAATTTTATGTGCCAAGGTGGCGATTTTACTAATCAAAATGGGACTGGGGGCCGCTCCATCTATGGCCACAAGTTCCCAGATGAGAACTTTGAGCTGAAACACTCGGGACCAGGAACCATATCAATGGCAAATGCTGGACCCAATACTAATGGCTCGCAGTTCTTTATATGCTTTGGAAAGACCACATGGCTGAACAACAGGCACGTTGTCTTTGGCAAGGTCATCGATGGCATGGATATCATACGAAAGATGGAATCGATGGGCTCGAATTCTGGCAAGACATCTAAGAGGGTTATTATCGAGGACTGTGGCGACGTATAAAGTGAAATTATAAATACACAACGTTTCAAAAGTTAAACTAAAATATAATATTTAACACATATTACTTTATGTATATAATATAGTATTCGCAGTTTCAAGGATTGGCTCAGAAACAGTCTTGTCTAAGGGCTCGACATTTTATAGTCATTAGGATTGAATGGCTGCAATAGCTTGGTGGATAATACACCATTGCTACTCTCGATGCTGCGCTCCAGATACTTTCTCGAGATATGCCCATCGACTTCCTCGTCTTCCGGCATATTGCTGGCTCGATGCGTGTCATCATGCACCGTATCAACGGGAAAAGTGTTGAGCTTAGAGAGGTGATTGTAACCAGAGCTGGTTACCTTATGGCCAGCCAAACGATTGCCAAAGGCGACAGCATCTGGAAGAGTCATCTGGCGCAAGTAGAGAGCATAGATGACAGCTGCTGCAAAGCAATTCCCGGCGCCATAAGCGTCCACAGGATCACCGCATATATTGGCAGGCAGTTCGTAGTATTTACCCAGCGCATCCAGGCAGCCGGAACCACTGAGACCCCATCCACAAATCAGACAGGGTCGGCGCACATGAAAGCTGCGTGGCAGGGAAAATTTCTTATCCAGTTGCAGGCAGGTCTCCTTAGGCGTCTGCCAGCCCAGCTGCTGAGCCAGCTGCCTGGAGAATATCACAAAGTCGCACATATCGAAGAGATCGATGATCTCTTTGAAGCACACATCATATGTCACCTTTAGCGAGATGAGTATGCGCTCTGCTGCAGTGCGTCCATTGTTATAATCCCATACGGCACGCATCATTCGAATTGTTTCTCTCACATTACGTGCCTCAAAGTGCACCCAGCCGTAGACTCCAAGATCGAGCAGCTTGAAGTCCTCGAATGTTACATATGGAAACTTTTGACTATCACTGTACAGAATAGTGCGACAGCCTGTCTTTTGAGCTTTCCAAATCGTGCTGATGTCCGGCTCCTCATCCGTCCGGGGGCAGTGGCTCAATTCGATGTTGCATCGACGCATTTCCTGCAGCATTTCTATCAGTAAACTGGAACGACTCAGCATGCCGAAGAACTCCACTTGGGCGCCCAGCATATGCAGCTGGATGCTCACATTGCTCGAGTGTCCACCACGACGCCATTGTGCCTCCAAGCAGCTGTGCAGGGCACCTGCGTCGGATCCATTAGCGCACACGGTTAATAAGTCTATCGACAAGCGGCCAATGCACAAAATCGGCTTCGTCACGCTCAGGGCGCCACTGGGACTCATGATGGTGCACTCGTTTTGAAACATACAACTATCATAAATTTTGAATATCTGTTTTTGACATAATTTATATGAGTTGTCGATTTAAAACTGTTCTCCATTTGTGTTGTTATACTTTTTATCCCAAGTAATTAAGAAGCCAGAGAAGCCGACTTGAATGAATTAGTTGATTGGCCATTTAAATAGTATATACAAATATTCGGGCTTTCCAATTTTGTACATAAAGAAACTTATATTTAAAAAATGTAAGAAATCCATTTAAGAAAGTAAAACGTCGCTTTTTATGTTTAATGGCTTAAGTTGTTTGAGTTCTCGTTGCATTATGCTAACAGTTTGAGTTCTCGTTGCATTATGCTAACAGTTTTATTTAGATACTTTTCATGTTTGGCAACAGTTTTCTACTAAGTAAACGCAGCTTGAAATATTGCTTCACGATTTATCCAAAGTTAATTTCTTTATTTTTAAAGTAGGCCTTGCCAAATTTGTTAGCTAACACTTTAAGGCTTTGGCTTTTGGCCATTTCATCATTCCAGTGTGGGCTGCTTAACCTTACAGATCTAGAACATATATTCTGATTTTCTTACAAGCATCGGAATCGGTAAATATTATTTAAAATCCTAAATAAATATTTATTTCATTATTTGTTTTCTTTATTTATTTCTTTTTTAGCGCTGGCGTTGTTTCGTTTATTGTGTAACCAAGCCAAGATGACCTTGCCACGTGTTTATTTCGACCTGAACGCCGGCGGAGAAAAACTTGGACGCGTCGTTATGGACCTACGGTCGGATGTAGTTCCAAAGACGGCGGAAAACTTTCGCGCTCTATGCACTGGGGAGAAGGGATACGGATATAAGGGCTCTCCATTTCATCGAGTCATACCAGATTTCATGTGCCAAGGTGGCGATTTTACCAAACAGAATGGCACTGGGGGACACTCCATCTATGGCGAAAAGTTCATGGATGAGAACTTTGAGCTGAAGCACACTGGACCGGGTATCCTTTCGATGGCAAATGCTGGACCCAATACAAATGGATCGCAGTTCTTTATTTGCACAATGAATACCAGTTGGCTGGACAACAAACACGTTGTCTTTGGCCGAGTTGTGGATGGAATGGATATCATTCGCAAGGTGGAATCAATGGGCTCTTATTCCGGCAAGACAACCAAGGATATTATTATTGAGGACTGTGGAGATATGTGAAGGGTTTTTCTTAAATTGTTATTTAAACGCAGCTTAATATATATATATATTTGCACTTTAATGAAACACTTTTGTAGTTTACAAATCAAATGGTTTTATATTGTGGTGTCCAACTCTGACAGAAAAGTAAGCAAGATTTTTCCTTGGTTGGGTGTAATTGATATGTAGATAAGCTGCTTAAGTCACAAACATTTTTTTTTCTAATAGAGTTCATCCAGAAAGGTTTCTTTGCTCATACTGCCATTTATATTCAATACAAAGTTTGAGTCTAAAATTTAAAAAAAAAATTCCAGTAATCAGAAAAGTAAAATATGGTTGATCCGAACTGTAAATTAAGCTGGGCAATCGGCAAAAAGACGGTGCTCTGTGTGGGATCAACAAACGTTGACTGCATCTTGATGGTGAAACGCTTTCCCAAACCAAATGTGCCCGAACAGAGTACAAATGCCTACTGGACGAGGGGTGGCATGGCCGCCAATATTTGCACCGTTCTGAGGAATTTGGGCGTGAGTGTTGAGTTCTTTGGAGTGTTGAGCTCGTCGCCAATGTTTAGTCTACTGATGGATGATATGCGGATGCGGGGTATCAACACAGATAACTGTCCGCGTTGCCAGCAGGAGCCGCCTTTTTCGTCATTGCTAATAAATGAGTCGACTGGGTCATGTACGGTTGTCAACTGCAATAATTCGTTTCCCTACCCAACTTTGGAAGATTTTCAAAAGCTCGATCTGAGCAAATACGGCTGGATACATTTCCGATGCCGTCAACCGGAAGTCACCATTGAAATGATGAAGTCTGTGGAGGCCTACAATGCAACGCAAATGAACAAAATTGTAATTTCAATGGACTTTGATACATTGCTACACGAAAATTGGAAACTGGTCAACTACTGCGAATATGTCTTCTTCTATAGGGAAGTCGCCAAGGAGCTCAAGTGGAAGACACTTAAGGAGGCGTGTTTTAACATTGATGAACTCCTTCGTATGCGCTTCGGCATAAATCTAAAGCGTCCGTTTATTATCTTCCGATGGGACCTCAAACATACTGGACTAATGGATACCGACAGCAAGTACTCCGTGGCACCCGCCTACAGGCCCAAGGTATTTAGGGATAGTCGTGGCATCGGTCAAGTCTTCATTGGAGCCTTCATTTATGCCATTTATGTGAGAGGACGCACCGAAGCAATTGCCGCCGACTTTGCCAGTCGCATGGCCACCTACAAATGCATCAAAATTGGCTTTGATCACATTGCTGATATCTTGGAAGCACCTAGAATGTAAATATATCCATATTTTCCATGACGTACCAATAAATTTAAATAGACCAGTCATATTAAGATATATTCCTTAGCAATATGATTTGATTGATTGTACAATAGTATTATTATTATTATTTATTTCATTTGTTTATTTTTTGTGTTTAGAATATAAAAATATTTTTGTAAGTAGTTTTTACAGCTAATCAGATAGTCTTGTACATTATTTTAAAAGTGTACATTATTTTGAAAGTAAAGTGAATTATGAAGTCTGAATCAGAGTCTTAAAATCAGTCCTTAAATAGTTTTTAAATGGGCCTAAGCTTTGATAATATACATGTTGGAGTTATTTGAATTATATCAAGATGTAGATGTGAAAACTAAAGTATAATATGGCTGAATGGTTAAGGATTGGCTCAAGTGCGTGAATTGTAATTTAAATGCACTTCAAGTCCAATTTAAACTATTGCAATTGAAAACAGTTAAGACACATTCCAAAACTAACTTAAAACTGGTTCAAAAGAGGTTTATGTACCACTTGAAATATTATTTAAATTTAACTTTGGCAACTCGTAAATGGCATAAACTTGTACACGGGCTATGTGCTTGGCATAATTGTGGCATGATTAATTCCAGAGTCCGTGCAGAAGTTGGCCAGGCGCAAAACAAATATTCAAAGTTACAAAGTTGTATAAAAATTGTTCGTATTTATGTATATTTTGCGGCATAAGCAATCGGCGGGGGAGTGTTGCTGCCCGCGGGGATGGGAATGGTGGTGGAGGTGGAGGTGGAGGCGGAGGCGGACAGGCAGGCAGTTAGTGTAAATGTTATGCATGGCATCAAGCGACAGACACAAAACGAGAATGTTTGCTGGTCATTTATCATGGCGGCAACAGCAGCAGCAACCAACAACAGCAACAACAATAACGATGGCCAGCGACAAGGAAGCAGCAACAATTTGGTCAGGAATTTAAGTGACAATTTTCATACAATTTTCAAGGCAGAGGACACACGGCACAATGCGGCGTATGAGCGATGACAATAATTTCGGCCTGACTATACAGAGAGAGAAATCGATAAATGTCCAAGCATTTGACATGCGACAAAGACAACCAACTAGAAAGTACTTCCGGGCATGAAACTCCCTACTTTTTTATGAAACAGTTTTCTCCACGGCTTTTTCTTACATTTTTTTTGTGTTGTACCCTGTTGTTATGCAAGGGGCTATGAGCGTCGAGAGCGGTATACGATGTAGCATTCTTAGATATGTTAAGTGGATTTAGCTGACGATTCATTTGTATGTTCAACAAAAAAACCGGGTATTTGGTAGTCGTGCAGAGTCGCCTCGAGTATTCTTACTGGTTTTCTGCTGACTATTGCAACATCAAATAATGCAAAGCCAAAAAATTATGCGTCGCAAATGCGACAAAGCTAACGAAGGGGAAACGCGGGGGATAGGGAGGCGCCACTTCAGGCCAAGACGCAGACAAAGTCGGAGACGCTTCAAAGCGGCTTCCGGCCATTGCAGAAACAAGACACACACACACACACACACACACACACTCACACACACACACACACACACACACACTCACACCACACACACACACACATACACACACCCAGCTACAACAGGCCGCCATTTATGTAAATTAAAAATTATTTCGACTGTAAAAATTCAGTGGGAATTGTTTTTGGCAAGCGTCGCTGTTGCCTCTGCGACCCATTTGCAAGAAAAACAGTAATACGCACACATACTAACAATAAGGCCAACACTAGCTTGCAAAAAGCGGCAACAATAGCAACAAGGAGCTAAGCAATTGTGAAAAACATTTGCTTTTTAACTACATTGGCTGTTAAGCAGATCTAAAAAATAGTTATTGTTATTATTGGCGGTTTGTTTTTGAGCCACAGCGCACCACATCGCACCACATGCAATTTGGCGTTTCCACAAGTGCGCAAACGCCCAAGTTGGCCAAAACGATTTAAATTTGAATGTTGATATGAAATTGCGGAAGGGATAAGTACAAACTTATGATTATGCACTTATGGCCAATACTTGAAATTGCTTTTAAAAAGCAGCCAAGGAAAACCAAATAAATTGAATGATATATCTTTAAGTGTATTTTGTATTATACTGATTTAAGTTTAGAGGAGACAATTACAAACAATTCAGTTTATAATTGGAATCTGAAACTAGAAGTTTAGTCCTTACAATATCTATATAGACCTGAACAAAATATTCAGTTAATCGCAGGTAGACATTTTCTTAATTAAAGTAATGGTTTCAATAGTTTGAATTATTGCAGTTGTAACAAAGCTAAAATGCCCAACTTAATTCAGATAATCTAAATTTACACCAAACTAAGAATAAATCTACAGACTTACATAAAGAATCATGCAATATTTCAGCAAATCAGTTTAATTAACATTAATATTAGCATTAGCTAAATCACATAGTTTGGCATTCCTAACATGTGTTGTTCTTTCATCAGTATCTGTGTGTGGGTTTTGTATGTGTATCTGTGTGTGCTTAAGTTAATTTGTGCTTTTCTATTTGGTAGCTAGACAATTTCTGTTTTCAATTTCATGCAACGCCACTTTGCATTTGAGCTAAAAGAACTTTAATATATTCCGTTAACGTTTCGATTGTGGCTCTCCCAGCTCTCCGCCATTACTCTCTCAATTGCCACTCTGTGGCAGTATGGGTCTGTAGTAAATGGGAAGCGGACTGTAGCTGGTTCTGCATGTGAAGTGCATAGATTATGCAGTTGGCTTCAGTTTATGATTGGCAAATCCAATATACGTCGTGCACTTTGGCATGCAGCCGGGTGCAGATTGGCAAGCCGAGCACTTGGACCGCAGCGACTGCAATTTCGACAGAGCTGCCACTTTATGGCAGTCACACGCATATTTTCCATTCCCTCACATTCACACACACACACAATCAGATGCACAGAAACAAGATGGCGGAGTACTCGTTTCCGGTTGATGGGCAACGGCGTGATTATCGGCAGGCGGCTGGCACTGCGAAGGGCAAACCGCAGCTACCAAAAAAAAAAAACAGAACAGAGAAAAAAGAAACCCACACGAGTATGCAATACACGTCGTACAGACTATTTGGACGTTGACTTTACCCTGTAGGCAGTTTAAAGAACATATAAAAAAGCTTGTTGAAAAGTTTAAAGTTTGAAATTGCTTGCAGATCCCATATTCTTAGCACGAAACTGATTTAAATTTGGCAAGAATTGTTTAAAAAAATGTTCAGAGGAAACCTTCAATTATGATCAACTTTCTAGATGTTCATATATGAAGTTTAAATTATTATAACACCAAGAATATTTATGGCAGTTCAACTGCAGTTTGACGTTGAATTGAAAATAGTTTAAAAGTAATTTTGAGCACTCTGATATGTATTGAATATTTTGTAACAATATGTATTGAAACACTTTCTGTTTTTTTTTTTGTTGTTGTTCCGCTAGGGTATAAAGCTGTCATACGGGGTATAAGCACATATAAACACACACACACACACACACTCACATATATTAGTAGCCCACAAAATTGCTGCCGCAGCAGTAAGCTGCAAAATAAGCCAAAAATATGCGTTATCAAGTCGAGCCAATATAAAAAGAAAAATTCTACGGCCAGGCACAAAATACACACACAAACACAGACACACACACACAAACACAGACACACACACAAGCACAGACACACACACAAGCACAGACACACACACAAATACACAGCCGGGTCTCGCACAGCTGGAAAGACAACAACGACACAGGACATAGACATGGATATAGGTGGAATGGGAGCGTTGAAGCATTGGCGTGGTGTGGGTGGCAAGGGGGCTTTAGCAATTGCAGTTGCCGTTGCCGTTGCCGTTGCCATTTTGCATTACTTTGCATAACCAGCGTGAATATCCCGCTGTGTGTTCTGGAGAGGCAGCTGGCAGCGCTGCCAGTTCTGGTAGCAGACGGCTGTTGCCGAGACTGTCGCCTCGCCTGTTTTTGGAGCTGTACCTCGGATATGGGAGCTGAAGTCTGCTGTTTAACCATAAACTGCTCGCCCATGGTCATTACGTTGAGGCTCTTCTTTGCTATTCTTTCAACTGTTTGTTTTTTTCTCTCTTATTTTTTGTATTTTGGAGTTTCCACACATTATTCTTATTTATCGGTGCTCGGCAGTCTGCTAGACCCCACGAGTAGCCATAATAAGCCATAAGCTATGTTGGGGTCGTAAACTGTTGCATATTATAAAGAATTTTTATGACACTCTGAAGATTGCTCTTCATATGCCGCATATATGTGTATGTAGAGACAAGTTATCTAAAATCCAATTGCCAGTTTGTCCGCACTTAAAAGTGGAGAGCTTTCAAATTTAATAACTGTAAAGTATTAAAAAACCAAGTGGGTGCAACTATTGCACCCTAATCCTAATCTTGACTTTCAATATTTATTGTCTTGGAAATGTCTGCGGGACATTCATTATTTCTTTTTCAAAATACACAATTCTGTCGGCTGTTGAGCACACTCCAGCTGATAACTCTGATTATTCAAATTATCTTATTATTTTCATATGTATTTCACTTGCCAATATATACATATATATTGATAAGTAAACATGAAGGAAAACAGCATCTTCTGAAATAAATTAAATATTGTTGTTATTATTTTTATTTTTATTTTTTTTTTGAGAATTTTTCGCAATGAAAACACAAAAATGTATGTACATATTTTTGCATATAATATGCGTACATATTTGAAAGCTTAAGCCTCTTTTATGGCATGTACTCGCCTTCCGGCATTTTGTTTATCTTTGTTGAAATTTTAATTTAAGGCAGCAAATCCCTTAAATTCTTGTGTAGCTTGTCAGTTTGTAATTTATGGAGTTGGCTTTGAACATTTCAATCAAGTGCTATCCAATCTGTTGGTGACAACATTCCAAAGCTAAATCAGTAGCGTTTCGCATGTTTCTCTGATTATTACGCTCATTACATCATCAAAAAAGACAAGAAAAACCAAAAAAAATCACAGCAGCCAACAAAAAAAGAAACCAAGAAAAGGCAA